GATTAAGGGATACGGACTCCAAAAAGAAATGGAGGTGTAAAATATGCGAATCAAAAGCACGAATGCGTCATGCGATTCAGAAGGCAGAGTTTTTTGTTCAGCTCTGTAATTTCTTTTTCAGCCTGATACAACTGATCTTCTAAATGTGTTATTCTTAGCTGTAGAGAAGTTATAATGTCTACCTTAGTACCGTTACCATCGGTTTTTTTTTCAACAGTCGATTGGAAATTAGGCGTCTTGAAAGGTGAAATTGAAGAGTGCAATGAAGTTCTTCTTCCTTTATTGGTGCTACGATTTAGATTTTTTTGCGGTAGCGATTGACACAAAGATTTGAGTGTATCGTTTTCTTTAGTCAATTTGTTGATCTGCCTGTTAAGAGCGTTATTTTCTAACATCATATCATCTAGTTCATTTTGCGTACTTGCTAGCTCCAATGATAATTTATTTATTGTTTCTTTCATTTCTTGTATATTTAATGTATATTTTAAGGTGTAATCAACGCTTCTAGATAGTTGATCCGGCGATGTTATGATCGATTCCTCTGATGTGTCCATTGTAGTAAGGATGTGAGAATCGTTTGTTTGGGACGTTAAGTTCGTAGGAGTAGACACCACATTTCGGCTATATTTAGGGGACGATGGTTTTTTTCGTACTGTTATATTACTGGTTATAGAATCTGAGTTTTGTTTAACGTTTGGAGATACATCCTAAAGGATGGCACCGTGGACATCTGTCGAGCTTGTCGCCATCCCGGTGAGTCACTTAGGCATGTCATCTCCGGTTGTTCGGCGCTTTCTAACTCTGAGTACTTGCACAGGCACAACCTAGTAGCCAGAATTCTTCACCAGGAGCTCGCTCTGAAATACGGTCTCGTGGATCGGAAATTGCCGTATTACAAGTACTTGCCGGAAGCCGTGCTCGAAAAATGATCGCGCCAGGCTCTATTGGGACCGGGCCATCATCACAGACAGGACTATTCTTGCGAATAAGCCTGATATTGTGCTGATGGACCGGGCACAGTCAAGGATATTTTTGGTCGACATTACCATTCCGTATGACGAGAACCTCGTGAAAGCCGAAACAGACAAGCAAACAAAATATCTGGACCTGGCTCACAAGGTGACTGACATGTGGGGTGGTCTGCCGACCGAAATTATTCCCGTAGTCGTCTCTGCAAACGTGCTAATCCCAGTCAGCCTCTAGGGTCATCTGAGGCGACTGGGCCTACGTAGCGGACCGCTACGGGCTCAAATGCAGAAGGCGGTGCTCCTCGATACCGCCCGCATCGTCCGCCGGTTTCTTTCTCTTTCCCCTAACCCTCGGCCGTTTGGTCTCCCTGCCGAGGGCCTCCATCTGGTTGGGCTTTTATTTATTTATGTATTTTTATATTTATTTTATGTTATTGATATTTATGTATATTTATCTTTTCATTTTCATTTATAATTATATATTTATAGAACCCAACCAGATGAGAAAACTATATAGATACCCCACAATAATAATAATAATCTTTATTTGCGTAAAACATGGTATAGATGTTGTTCACAGGTAAAAATCGAGCGCTCATGTTTTGCTTATTTTACATAGCATGCAAATATTTTGAACAATGTCAAATTTTCTTTAACTATTTGAAATACCTTAGTCACCTGATTTAGTTAACAAAAAGAAATAATATTATAATAATTAATTACATGTCAATTTCAATACCTAATAATAGTCGCATAGTTTAATCAAAGATATATTGTAACAATACTATAGTTTGTTATTTTATATTTATTACAATAATTAAATGATTTTTTTTTATAAATATTATCTAGTACTTAATCTAATTTATTTCCAAGAATTGTTTTACACTATAGAAATTATTTTCATTCAGCCATTTGTACAATTTCTTTTTGAGCAATGTAATATTTAGGGTTTTAAGTTCGTCAGGGAGTTTATTATATATTCGGACACACATGGTAAGGCAACTTTTTGCTATATTTTTTGTGATTTAGGTATATCCTTAAATACTAGCTTGTGTGGGTCCCTACGTGGGCGAGTAGTCTGTACCTCACAAGCTTTTTTCAAATAATTGTTTGTGTCTCTGCACAAATACACAAACTTCTAAAATATATATCATTGGTAGTGGCAGTATTCCAAGACCTTTAAATAGAGGCTGACACGATTCATCGGGTCTTACTCCGCAGATTGCCCTAATGCACTTTTTCTGCGCAATAAAAGCCCGATTCCAATCCGAACTATTTCCCCACATCACCAGTCCATAACGGAGTATAGACTCGGCATATGCTCGGTAAGTCATAACAGACGTTTTTATGTCAGTCACTTTTTTATTTGGTTGAGCGCGTAAGAACATTTATTTACTTTATTACAAACTTCATCGATATGTGCTTTCCAGTTCAGATTCTGGTCTATGACCACACCTAAAAATTTTGTTTTTTCTATTTGATTGATTTTTATAATGTTTACCTTGAAATTTTACTGGTTATGTTTTGACTTATTAAACTGAATAAAATTTGATTTTGCCAAGTTAATTTTTATATTGTGAGCTTGTAGCCATTCAATTATATTATCAATTGTATTATTTATCTCCAATTCATGATTATATATTCAATTTTTATTTTTTTTAGTCCTAACTATAACCGAAATGTCATCAGCGTATGTGATACATTCATGACTTGTCGCATCAGATATGTCATTAATATATAATGTAAACAATATAGGCCCTAAGATACTGCCTTGTGGAACTCCATTAATATTTTCAAGGCAGTTGGATTTATATGTTCTTAGTTATTTATTTATTAATTTTGTTATCGTGACACATTGAGTACAATTTGTTAAATACGAAGCAATCCATTTCAACGTAATACCCCTTATTCCTATTTTTTCCAATTTATTTAATAATAGATCGTGTGATACGAAGTCAAATGCCTTAGTTAATGTTTTATCAAAAACATGATTTATCAAAAAAAGTAAAACCAAATTACAACTTTGTTATAGTAGGTGACTTTAATATAAATACCTTGAAACCTGGCAGCCTGACATGCCACTTAAAAGATCTTTGCAATAACTATAATTTGAAACTCCATATCGATGTTCCAACTCGCAAAGAATCGTGTATAGATCACATCCTTAGTAATGTAAAGGACGCTACTGCTCATGTATTGCCTCTCTATCTATCGGATCATGAAACAGCGCAACTACTGAGTATTCCGATCCAAAAAATATTCCTAAAACAGAAAAATCCTACTACTCATTCAAAAAAGACTATTCTTTAGAAAATATTAAAAAATTTAAGGAATGCTTGAATAGCCTCTCTTGGTCTGAAGTATATAGTGAACCTAACTTGAATATAGCCTTCAATAACTTTCATTCGAACTTCAGGTTGTTCTACGATTTGTGTTTCCCAACTAAAAAAGTAAAGGTTAATAACTCCAAAAAAAAAAAACAATCGCATGTGGTTTAGTAAAGGCTTACTAAAAAGTTGTAACACAAAGAGAAAACTCCGATATAACTATTATACACATAAATCAGCAAGCAATAGACAGAAATATTTTACATATTCAAATATCCTAAAAAAATGTATAAATAAATCTAAGAGACTTGCAAACATAAAATTTATTCAAAATAATAATAATAAATGTAAAGCAACGTGGTCTATAATAAAAAATGAAATAGGTATAACACAAAGTGAAGCTTCTGTTGACTATCTAAAAATTGACGACTCCGACATAGCAAACCCGGAAGAAATATCCCAAATATTTAACAACTACTTTACAAACATCGGAAAAATTAGTATTAATAATGTAAACAATGGCGAAGGCTCTTATATTACGAACAATTTTAACTTAAACACAACGTTCCTTAAACCCATGTCAGTAAATGAAGTAAAATTAGAGGTAATGACCTTAAATAAAACCAACTCTGTAGGCTACGATGGCATAAATACACACATATTGAAGTCATGCATTGATAAAATAATTGACGTTTTAACTCATCTTGTCAATTTGTCATTCTCATCAGGAAGCTTTCCAGAAACATTAAAGTCCTCCATTGTAAAGCCTATACACAAACGTGGCAACAGAAACGTCGTTAGTAATTATCGCCCAATTACCCTTGTACCTATACTTTCAAAAGTATTTGAAAAGTGTATGTATAAAAGGCTCCTAGAATTTTGCAATAAGTTTAACAATATAAATAAAAAATCAATATGGCTTCCAAAACATAAATCGATTATCTTAGCTATCCATCACCTAATAAATACAGTGTTGACCAATATTAACCCTTAAACCCTACCCGGGGGGTCCAGCAAACCCCAGAGGTTGAATATTTGTAGATATTTTTGCAATAACGAAACGCACTATTGTGCCACTCGAGCTAATCTTTAATTACGTCGTCGGCCATCTTTTCACTAGTCTAGCGTCAACGCTTACACAGTTTAGACGGAATTATAACTATTTATGGGTCTGTCAGACCCCAGGGTAGTAATAACGTAGTATTTTGTCATTTCTTTTTGTCGATACATTGGTGAATGCAGTTATTTTTGATACAATATTTTAAAGGGTAAGTTTAATATTTGATGTATTTATTACAATAACAATAGTGTTTTTTTCTTTAGGAACGTATATGAACAAATCTAGCAATATTGTTGTTTCGTTTTAACAGTTTATTCAATATTGTGTTTTATGCCATTGTTTTAGTTTTAACGATCAAAATTGCGTAAGATGGACCTACAGATCACTCAGTGGTTGCATGAAGACCAATCAGAAGATGAAGAGGCATGTGAAGTCGCTGTTCCTGACCTTGAAAATGATGTTGACGAAGACGGAATTATTGAAGACTTTCGAGCAGAACATCCAGATGATGATACAGAAAATTCTTCATCGGTAGATGACACTCCTCTGAGTAATTACAGTTCAGGTAATTTTCTACGTGTCTTACCTGTCCCTAATAATCTGAAGAGCAAGGACGGGTTTAGGTGGACAGGTGAAAAACCAGCAAAGTCTAGAGTCCCACGAAGAAATATTTTGTTTCATCCTCCTGGACCTAAAGCTGCAGCTCGTGAAATAAAAACAGAGCTGGAAGCATGGAGTATTTTTTTTTCTGATGAAAAGCTTGAAGAAATTGTAAGAAATACAAATGCTGAAATTGGTAAACAGAGAGAAAAAATATAAACGAGACGGACCTGTACAGAATACGGAAGACGAAAACGCGGACGCATCGAGTTCCACAAAAATACGTCCTTCTTTTGCTAAGGATGCAAGTGTGGTGGAAATGAAGGCTTTGTTTGGACTTTACTACTTAGCAGGGGTACTCAACATAAATCACGTCACCACCAAGGAATTGTTTGACAAGAACTCAGGTGTTGGCTAATTTCGTGCCACCATGAGCCAAGCCAGATTTGAGTTTCTGACAAACTGTCTGCGTTTTGACGACCGGTCTACCAGAGAAGAACGCCAGCAAAATGATAGATTAGCACCAATTAGAAACATTTTTGATCACATTGTCAAAGTTTCGAGTGAAGTATATAGCCCTTCAGATTGCTGTACATTAGACGAAATGTTATTGGGCTTTAGAGGTAGATGTATCTTCAAAATGTACATTCCGAGTAAACCAGATAAATATGGTATAAAAATTTTGATGACTTGCGATGCTAAAACTGCCTATATGTTAGATGCTTTTGTATATTTGGGCAAAGGCTCGTGCCCTACAAATGTAGCAGCTGCTCATTTCTTTACTTTGAAATTGACTGAAACAATTCATGGCACAAACCGCAACCTCACTTGTGATAATTGGTTCACGTCAATACCAGCAGCAAAAGAATTGTTGCAAAAGCAGGTGACCCTTGTAGGTACACTACGTAGAAACAAGAGAGAAATTCCACCTTCTTTTCTTGAGCTAAAAGATCGCGATCGCAACACGGCAAAGTTTGCCTTTACAGGAGAACTTACGCTTTTGTCTTACTGCCCCCCAAAATCCAAACAAAAAAAATTGTCCCCATGTTGTCAACTATGCATGCAACAGCAGATCCTGATGCAACGATTCAAGTACCAGAGATGATAGAGTTTTATAATAAGACTAAATGCGGAGTCGATTTGATGGATCAGCTATGCCACAAGTACAGCGTATCTAGGAGATCAAAAAGGTGGCCAATGGCAATTTTTTGGCCTTCTGAATATAGTAGGTGTTAATTCATATGTCCTGCTAAAATGGCCACAAAAAGAGTTACAAAAAGACGTCATTTCTTGAAAAAACTTGCCATAGATCTGATCACCCCTCAAATGGAAGAACGATTAACATGGCCCTCTTTGCCCATGAATCTTCAAGTTCTCTTAGGTGGAATCTTGCAAAAGAAGCGGCCATTGCACGAACCAAGTTCTGATCCCACTGCTAAAAAAAAGATGTGCAATGTGCCTAAGGGGTAAGGATCGAAAAACCAAGGTCACCTGTGGCATGTACCAAAAACCTCTTTGCGGTGAACATACTGAGGCCATGTGCCAAGAATGTGTTACCAAAAACCATTAACAATTTTTTTTGTATTGTCTATTAAGCAGATTATTATAATAAATAATAATTGTAATTAAATTGTTTTTTTATTTTTTAAGTATGAATTTTTATATAGTGGGGTCCTTAAAACCCCTGGGTAGCAATAGTGTTTCTCCTAGAATGAGTAGGGTTTAAGGGTTAATGATAACTATTTGACTACGGGACTGTTTTTTGACTTAACTAAGGCATTTGACTTCGTATCACACGATCTATTATTAAATAAATTGGAAAAAATAGGAATAAGGGGTATTACGTTGAAATGGATTGCTTCGTATTTAACAAATTGTACTCAATGTGTCACGATAACAAAATTAATAAATAAATAACTAAGAACATATAAATCCAACTGCCTTGAAAATATTAATGGAGTTCCACAAGGCAGTATCTTAGGGCCTATATTGTTTACATTATATATTAATGACATATCTGATGCGACAAGTCATGAATGTATCACATACGCTGATGACATTTCGGTTATAGTTAGGACTAAAAAAAATAAAAATTGAATATATAATCATGAATTGGAGATAAATAATACAATTGATGATATAATTGAATGGCTACAAGCTCACAATATAAAAATTAACTTGGCAAAATCAAATTTTATTCAGTTTAATAAGTCAAAACATAACCAGTAAAATTTCAAGCTAAACATTATAAAAATCAATCAAATAGAAAAAACAAAATTTTTAGATGTGGTCATAGACCAGAATCTGAACTGGAAAGCACATATCGATGAAGTTTGTAATAAAGTAAATAAATGTTCTTACGCGCTCAACCAAATAAAAAAGTGACTGACATAAAAACGTCTGTTATGACTTACCGAGCATATGCCGAGTCTATACTCCGTTATGGACTGGTGATGTGGGGAAATAGTTCGGATTGGAATCGGGCTTTTATTGCGCAGAAAAAGTGCATTAGGGCAATCTGCGGAGTAAGACCCGATGAATCGTGTCAGCCTCTATTTAAAGGTCTTGGAATACTGCCACTACCAATGATATATATTTTAGAAGTTTGTGTATTTGTGCAGAGACACAAACAATTATTTGAAAAAGCTTGTGAGGTACAGACTACTCGCCCACGTAGGGACCCACACAAGCTAGTATTTAAGGATATACCTAAATCACAAAAATATAGCAAAAGTTGCCTTACCATGTGTGTCCGAATATATAATAAACTCCCTGACGAACTTAAAACCCTAAATATTACATTGCTCAAAAAAGAAATTGTACAAATGGCTGAATGAAAATAATTTCTATAGTGTAAAACAATTCTTGGAAATAAATTAGATTAAGTACTAGATAATATTTATAAAAAAAAATCATTTAATTATTGTAATAAATATAAAATAACAAACTATAGTATTGTTACAATATATCTTTGATTAAACTATGCGACTATTATTAGGTATTGAAATTGACATGTAATTAATTATTATAATATTATTTCTTTTTGTTAACTAAATCAGGTGACTAAGGTATTTCAAATAGTTAAAGAAAATTTGACATTGTTCAAAATATTTGCATGCTATGTAAAATAAGCAAAACATGAGCGCTCGATTTTTACCTGTGAACAACATCTATACCATGTTTTACGCAAATAAAGATTATTATTATTATTGTGGGGTATCTATATAGTTTTCTCATCTGGTTGGGTTCTATAAATATATAATTATAAATGAAAATGAAAAGATAAATATACATAAATATCAATAACATAAAATAAATATAAAAAATACATAAATAAATAAAAGCCCAACCAGATGGAGGCCCTCGGCAGGGGAGACCAAACGGCCGAGGGTTAGGGGGAAAGAGAAAGAAACCGGCGGACGATGCGGGCGGTATCGAGGAGCACCGCCTTCTGCATTTGAGCCCGTAGCGGTCCGCTACGTAGGCCCAGTCGCCTCAGATGACCCTAGAGGCTGACTGGGATTAGCACGTTTGCAGAGACGACTACGGGAATAATTTCGGTCGGCAGACCACCCCACATGTCAGTCACCTTGTGAGCCAGGTCCAGATATTTTGTTTGCTTGTCTGTTTCGGCTTTCACGAGGTTCTCGTCATACGGAATGGTAATGTCGACCAAAAAATATCCTTGACTGTGCCCGGTCCATCAGCACAATATCAGGCTTATTCGCAAGAATAGTCCTGTCTGTGATGATGGCCCGGTCCCAATAGAGCCTGGCGCGATCATTTTCGAGCACGGCTTCCGGCAAGTACTTGTAATACGGCAATTTCCGATCCACGAGACCGTATTTCAGAGCGAGCTCCCTGGTGAAGAATTCTGGCTACTAGGTTGTGCCTGTGCAAGTACTCAGAGTTAGAAAGCGCCGAACAACCGGAGATGACATGCCTAAGTGACTCACCGGGATGGCGACAAGCTCGACAGATGTCCACGGTGCCATCCTTTAGGATGTATCTCCGATAGTTGTTGGTCTTAATAACCTGATCCTGTATTGCACAGACAAAACCCTCGGTTTCCCCCGAAGAGATCACCAAAGCGTAGCCAGTGGAGGGAGGCTACTGTGTCTACGAAAGGCTCATGTAGAGCTTTGTAGAACCTCCCGTGGAGCTCCTTCTCCTTCCATACATTCTCCCGGTCCGAAATTGTCTGCACTGCCGAGTATTGCCATTGCTCGTTGGCTAAGGAAGGAAGGAAGGAAGAGGAGTAAGTCCTTTATCACTAGAAATGACGTCCTTATAGAATGGATCATCCGATCTCGCCAGGAAGTAATTACGGAGGCTGCACACTTCGCGATTATGCATGGTGAGCGCGCTCAAGAAGCCACGCCCACCATGCTTTCGCGGCAAGTACAGCCTCATTACCGACGATCTCGGATGATGCATCCTGTGGGACGTCATGGTAGTGCGGACTTTTCTATCCAGGGCGTTAAGTTCAGTCTGAGTCCACCTGAGTATGGCAAAGGTATACATGAGGACAGGCATGACCCAGCCGTTATATGCGTGTGTCTTATTCACACCGGACAAAAGGCTGTTAAGCACTTTGGTCAAGCGTGCATAAAACACGTCACAAACTGACTGTTTCATACCAGCCTCATCGATACCGATGTTCTGTGACATACCCAGGTATCGGTATGTTTCAGCCTCGGAAAGGGTCCTTAAGTTGACGGGCATAGATAAGTCTATGCCCTCAGAGTTAGCAACCCTCCCCCTTTCAACATGGAGGACCGCACACTTATCCGTTCCCAGCTCCATTCCAATAGAATTGCTAAATTCACAAGTGATGTTTAGCAATTCCATAAGATGGGAGCGACTGGAGGCGAATAACTTGAGGTCATCCATATAGAAAAGGTGGGTCACTTTTGTACCTCCTTTCCGTAGCTGAAATCCCCTCCCGGAGCCCTCCAGTAAAGTACTGAGAGGGTTCAGGGAGAGGCAAAACCAGATTGGACTCAGACAATCGCCCTGGAAGATACCCCTTCTTATCCTTATGTGGTTCTCCGCAGCCATCATCCGCTCGCCCAGATAGCAAAGGATCGTACTCCATTGCCCCATACACTGCTCGAGAAAGTCTCCAACTGTAAAGTCAATTTTGTACAGCTGGAGGACTCTCTTTAGCCATGTATGGGGCACCGAGTCGAATGCCGTTCTGTAGTCTATGTATCTTA